TGAATGTCAGCATAGAGGGACTTGTGTGTTGTACGCATGTAAACAGCTATAGACCCACAAAGAGGTAAATGTCTGTCTAGAGAGCCGCAATACGTGATAAATTCGTATACGTAACGCCACGTTTGTCAGTATACACATATACACACAGAGGTATATATATGTACGTACACTCGCTCTAGATGAATATTACTGTTTACAGGCACATGGCATGTTCACACGCATACATATGTACATATACAAATATATATATATATATATATATATACATATATATATATGTATATATATGTATATGTACATATAGCGGTATATGCGTCACGCGATATATACAGACTCGGGTAAGATGATATACTAATATATGTATATGTGATCTATACACCTGTATGTCGCGTGTAAGTGCATGTACGTGTGCGTATGTATGTGTATACACGTGCATGTGTAGACGCATGTTAGGTGACACATCAATATGCACAGGATTATACATGGCATATATGTACATATATACGTACCCGCAGACGTATACATATATATATATATATATATATATATATATATATATATATATAGGCACCGCCGGCGTGGCATAGACTTACTAGCACAAGGCTTTCTCGTGTACGCAGGGCAGGAGGTAGCTGCTGCAGCGTGCTGCCCAGCGACAGTAGTCGCTCCATCCTGAAAAGCAGGAATAGCAGTAAAACAACCGTAGCCGCAACAGCGAGATAATATACATGTACATACATATACATGAATATATGAAGAAGCAGCAGCAGCAGTGTAGTAATAGCAGCAACAGAAAAATATAGTAACTGACCTGCAGAGACATCCGTTCTGTATAGAGGTACCCACATATACATATATATATATATATATATATATATATATATATATATATATAAGCATATGCATACATACCTATCTATAGCAGCAACAGCAGTACCGGTGGTAGCGCCGACAGCAAAGAGGTGCAAAGCTTCCTCAATATATATACACATATGCATAAGTCTACGTACATTTGTGCAGCAAGTGAGACAGCAATAGATACGTACCCACGAGCGCGTAACAACGAGGACCTGTTCCTACGATTACTGATAGCAAGAGGTAACTACATATACATATATATATATATATAGATGTATATAGGCACACGTCTCTATCGACGTGTACATCGAAATATACGTATGGCGGAATTGTGGGGCACCATTATAACAACGAAGCCGTTCTCCTGTCAGTGAGTACTAACACTGGCAAGTACATATTGCATATATATTTACATATACATACACGTGTAGGCCTCCCTATATATATGCACAACAACATGTATACATACACGTGTATATACATGTATATGTATATGTATATATATGTATGTGTAGGCGGTGCGAAAGGCAGTCAAATACCTTGCTTTTGCATCGTGAGGAGGCAGACGTCTCAGTCCTCGCAGCAGCTCCTGCAAAGTTGCAGGTAGGTGTTGCAGCTGCTCTTCCTCTTCGTCTTGCTTCTTCATATCTTCTCCACTTTCCATATTTTTATCTGCTGTTCGCCCTGGGCTGCTGCTGTTGCTGTTGCTGCTGCTGCTGCTGTTGCCGTTGCTGCTGCTGCTGTTGCGGCTGCTGCTCCTGCTCCCGGTCCTGCCGCTGAGGCTGCTGTCTCTGTAGCTGTTGCTGCTGCTGCTGCTGTCGATCCCGCTGTTGCTTGTGCTGGCTGAGCTGTTGAGTAGAGACCTGCGGCTGCCGTAGAAGCGCATCTCACCTCCTGTAGTAGATGCTGCTGCGGTAGCACGGTGGGTGTGGCTGCTCTTTTTACCCGATCTGGTGCTGCTGCTGCTGCTGTCGGCGCGCCTGCTGCTGCCCCTGCTGCTGCTGCTAGTCCTGCTGCTGCTGCTGCTGCTGCCAGTGTAGTTGCTTGCTCTCTCTTCGAAAGAAAAGCCGACGTGACCGCTGCAGCTGCTGCTGTTGCTGCTGTGCCGTGGGCCTTCTTGGCAGCTGCTGCTGCTTCTCCTGCGAGTGCAGCTGTTGCTTTCTGTTTCAACTGGCGCTGTTAGACTGCTGCGGTTGAGCTGCTGTTGTACTCTGCTGCTGCTCTTCCAGCTCTTGCTGCTGCTGCTATCTCCCGGTATAGCAGTATACGCACCGCTGCTAGGAGGCCAGCAGCTGCTGCTGCTGCTGCTGTTCCTCCTCTGCGAATACGTCCTCGTAGTGTTGACACTTGTCATCACCATACTGCTGCTGTCGCCGCTACTCCCTCTGCTCCTCCTTCTGCTGCTGCTGCTGTCGCTGCTGCTGCGGCGGCTGCGGCTGCTGCCCGGGTTGCTACTGCTGCTGCTGCTGTCACGGCTGTTGCTGCTGCTGTCACGGCTGTTGCTGCTGCTGTCACGCCTGCTGCTGCTGCTGCTTCCTCTACCACACGGACTACCGGAGAACAGTATGAAGAGTTTGCAACTAGCGGTAGTAGTCGGCAGGTACGCCGTCCTCCACTGTCGGTTGCTGAAGAAAATAGGGAGGGTAGTCTTCACGTCCATGATACTGATGTTGTTGTTGTTGCTGCTGCTGGTAAGTGGATGACAGATGGCGCCACAAGGCCGCCGCCGCTGCAGGTGCTGCGGCGGCCGCTGCTGCTGCAGGTGCTGCTGCTGCAGCTGCTGCTGTGGCTGCTGCTGCGGCTGCTGCTGCTGCCGCTGCGGGTGCTGCTGCTGCTGCTCGGGAGATAAATATATCGTCTCCTGGGTGGCTGGAAAATCCACCCTTCCCGGTATTGTATGCAGAAGACGCTGAAGATGATGATGGAGAGGAGACAGAGGAAGAAGAGAAGAAGAAGGAGGAGGAGGACAAGCAGCAGCGGCAGCAACCGCGGCCACAGGAAGAACATAAACAAGTAGAAGAAGAAGAGGATGAAGATGACGAGGATGACGAATAGGTCCGAAACATAGATCTGCGGGGTGTTGGTGGTGGACATATAAGCCTAGGGTGATATCTACCGGGGGATGTATTTGTAGTAGCAGGAAGAGCAGGAGAATGAGTAGTAGGGACGCTGTTTGTACTAATTTCAGAGTCTGTATAGAAAAGTACCATAGACTGTTTCTCGATATTCTCACAGCAGCAGCAGCAGCAGCAGCAACAGTGGCATTGGACGTGAGGCGGAAGACGGCGGTGGCAGCAGTGGTGGTACCAGTGGTGGTGGATGTGGTGGATGTCGTGCCTCCTGGTAATGTACGCAGACTCACCTCTTTTCCTACCGAGAAAAGGGCAGCAGGGCGGGAATGTTTGGCTGGTGCTGCTGCTGTTGCTGCTGCTGTTGCCGCTGCTGTTGCTGTTGCTGTTGCTGCTGGTGCTGCTGCTGTTGCTGCTGCTGCTGCTGTTGCTGCTGCTGCTGTTGCTGCTGCTGCTGTTGCTGCCGCTGCTGTTGCTGCCGCTGCTCTTGCTGCTGCTCCTTCTGCTGCTGTCGCTGCTGCTGGTCTTGCTGCTGCTGTTGCCGCGGCTTTTCCTGTGGCTGCTGTTCTCGCTAGTGCTGTTCTCGTTGTTGCTGTTGCTGCTGCTGCTGCTGCTGCTATTGTTGGTGTTGCAGCTGCTGCTGCCGAAAAGAAGTCGGGCGGTCTCATTATCGCTGTTGTTGTAGCGATTAGGACTACTGCTGCTGGTGCGCGATGAGAAAGACAAACTGCGGGATCTCGCGGTCGAAGCGAGCACGAGATCTCCCTCCCCTGTGAAGCCGTAGGTGGTAGCACTGCTGCTGTTGCTGCACTTGTTGAAGCAGGTGTTGCTGGTGCTGCAGTTGTCGAAGCAGCTGCTGCTGGTGCTGCAATCATGGATGGTGGGAATGTCAGCAGGGTAGCTGCTGCTGCTGCTGCCGCCCCTGTTGCTTCTGCTGCTGTTGCTGCTGCTGCTGTTGCTGCAGCTGCTGCTGCTGTTGCTGCAGCTCCTGCTGCAGCATAGACAACGCCCTTTGCGTAGTAGCGTGAGAGAAGAAACGTCTCTCCGACGGTCGCAGCAGCGAAGACGGCGACAGCAGCAACAGCCGTCGACGCTTCTACTCCTGTGGAAGGGGAGGGCTGTAGTAGTATTAGTATTAGTAGTAGTAGTAGCATTAAGGGTGGTAGTAGGAGCGATGCAGCGGCATGCTGTATTGCGGATGTAATCTGGGAAGAAGGGGCGAGGTTGTAGAGCAGCAGCAGCACCAGCAGCGGGAACACTTGTAGGAGTCGTAATAGTAGGAGGGACAATACCCACAGCGTCGAACCCTGCAGCAACGAAAGCATATAGGGATGACTGAAAATAGGTACCAGTTTCTGCTGCTCTAGCTGTCGCTCTTGCTGCTGCTGCTGCTGCCGCTCTTGCTGCTGCTGCTGCTGCCGCTCTTGCTGCTGCTGCTGCTGCTGCTGCTGCTCCTGCCGCCGCTCCCGCTGCTGCTCCTGCCGCCGCTCCCGCTGCTGCTCCTGCCGCCGCTCCCGCTGCTGCTCCTGGTGCTGCACCTGCTGCTCCTCCTGCGACTGCTCCTGCTGCTGCAGAAATAGGAATTCGTCCCTCCAGCACCTGCTGCTGCACAGCTTGCAGTAAAGGGATGGGAGAAGGAAGAATATCATATTCTCCATGTTTGGTTGCAAGCGTGCGACAGGTACCTGGGCCTCCTCCTCCTTCTCCTTTGCTGCTGCTGCTGCCAGTAGTACTTGCACCTCCTCCGCCTCCGCCTCTTCCTCCTCCTCCTCTGTGTCCTCCGCTAAAAAGGGCATCGGTCCAGCTGTAGTAATCAGGAATCTGGTGCTGTCGTTGCTCCTGCTGCTGCTGCTGCTGATTGTGTTGCTGCTGCTGCTGCTGCTGGTTGTATTGCTGCTGCTGCTGCTGTTCCTGCCCCGCATTTGAGAGTGGCTGCTTTCGGTCCTCCTCTTCCGCCATCTGCTGCTCCTCTCCTACTCGTAGAAGTAAAGTAGCTACACTCAATCTTCGCCTACTACGCCCCTAGTATTGCTGCTGCTGCTGCTGTTGTTCTTCTGCTACAGGCGCTATATATATATATATATACATATGTATTTGCATGTATGTATATATATCACTGGATTTCTTCTTATCAGGCTGCTGCTTAGGCTGCTACTATGTTGCTCGACCGGGTCACTGAAATCTGTTCCTCACCGTGCTGCTGCTGCTGCTGCCGCTAATACTCTTCTGTTCCGCGCATGCGCAGTTGCTGCTCGCTGCTGCCTGGAGGCTCATTTATTCTCGACGCGATAGCATGCTGCTGATTCTGCTGCTACGTCTTCAGTAGGGAAGCTTTCATGTCTCACTACAACTAGTACTGTATTACGAGATACGGTACCCCCCGTTGCTGCTGCTGCTGCTGCTGGTGCTAGTTTTGCTGGTGCGCCTCCTGCTGTCGCTACTCTTGCTGGTACTGCTTCTGCTACTGCTGCGGCTGTTGCTGCAGCCGCTGCTACTGCTGCTCCTGTTGCTGCTGCCGCTGGTACTGCTGCTGCTGTTGCTGCAGCCGCTGGTACCGCTGCTGCTGGTACTACGGGTATTGCGGCTGCTGCCGCTAATACTGATGATGCTGCTGCTGCTACCTGGGCGTATCCTTACATTATTTTGCTTCTGCGTTCCTTATACCGCTACTGCATACCGTCTTTCTCCTCGCGATAGCTTCATCTTCACCTGCTGCCGCTGCTGCTGCTGCTTCCAGCTGTAGTGTCTTCTTGCTTCCGCCCGTCAACTGTGGCTGCGGCAGCTACTGCTGTTACTACTGCTGCCGTTGCTGCTGCTGCTACTGCTGTTGCTGGTACCGTTGCTACAGCTGTTGCTGCTGGTGCTGCTGCTCCCGTCATCCTGCTGCTGTTGCTGCTGCGGCCGGTGCTGCTGCTTGTGCCGCTGCTGCCGTTGCTGGTGCTACTGCTTCTGCAGTTCCAGCTGCGTTTGCCAGTGCCAGCAGCTTCGTTTTGCTGCTGGGCGTGCCCCCCCGTCCGTCACTCGCTAGCAGCGCATCGGCCACTGCTGCTGTTGTACGAGCATTTTGCTGCTGCTGCTGCTACTGCTGCCCTTGTGCACCAGCTCCTGCTGTTCTGTTCTATTACTATTATCATTACTCTTGTCGCTGCTGCTGCTGCTGCTGCTTCTGCAGCTATGTGCGTCAGCTCCTACTGCAAGGCTGTTACTGGTTGTTGCAGCTGGCGTTTGTCCTGTTGCCTGTCAGCTGCCGCGGTCCCATACTATGAATGCTGTCGCTGCTGCTGCTGTTGTTGTAGGTCGTACAAGGTACTGCTGCTATGCTATCATTATTGCTGCTCCCGCTGCTGTTGCTCCTGCTGGTGATTCTGCTGTCTGTCACCTGCTGCTGTTCTCCCCTCTTATTGCTGCTGCTACGCGGCTGTTGTAACGCGCGTCCAACGCTGCTGTTGCGCCGACATGGCTGCTGATGATGTTGCTGCTGCTCCTGGTGTCTAGCCCCTGTCGCTGTCCCGTATCATTATCGTTAGAATTACTGCTACTTTTATTGCTGCTGCTGCTGCCGTTGCTGTTGTCTGTCTACCCCCTGCAGCAGCTCCGCTATGTAGGTTTCAAATCAGCTGCTGTCTCGCCGTGTCTCTGCTGCTGCCGCTGAGCCTTTCTGCTGCTGTTGCAGCTTTCTATGGTTATAGGGCTGGGCTCGGAAGGTCTCTAGCCACCTGTACGATGCTGGTACTACTGCTGTAACTGTCTGGTGCTCAGCATTTCTATATTTTCCCTAGTAGCTGTACAATCCTTTGAAGACATGATATAAGGCTTCGCCTACTAAGACTTCAAGTTAGTACATTAAGTAATGTTCTTACTAGCATTACTTGTGTCAGCGCCGGTATTCGTAAGATTACTATTATTATTATTATTATCATCATCAGGACTATTATTACTATTGGTAGCTAGTAAGGCTTCTAGCTACCAGTTGCACTGGAAGTATATCTGTTACTGCTGGGTACTTGTAAAATCGTCATCATGATTAGAACTATGGTAAGCAGTAATCTCGTTTGTAGCTAGGAAGGCGCCTAGCTACTATTTTTCTCTTTCTACTTCTGTTACAGTAAGGTATTCGTAATACTATCTACATTATTACTATTATAGTTCTGAGTTGCTGGTAAGGCTTCTACAGTACTATTATTATTGATACTATTATTTGCTGAGTAGTCAGTGAGGCATCTACCAACTAATTTCTGCTATTACAACTCCTGTCACTGTGGGATATCTATAACACTACTCGCCTCAGTAGCCAGTAAGGGTTCGAGCTACCCATCTATTGGTGGCCTCACGTCTGGTACTGGGACGAATCCGCAAGATTACTATTGATATTATTACTATCATTACTAGTATCAACCTGCCAGCTACTGACGCTGCTGGTGGTACTTCTCTTACTGTGCGGTATTTGTAATATATCATTATAACAGCTTTAGCTACTCATTTATTGATGGCCCTACTTGCGGTGCGACGGAAGTCGCAAGAATAATATTACTATTACTACTACTATAACTATTATCATCCTATTAGCCACTGATGCTGCTGTTGTTACTTCTGTTACTGTGCAGTACTCGTAATATATCATTATGACGGTTTCAGCTACTCATCTAAGGGTGGTCTCACGTGTTGCACTGGGACGTATTCGCAAGATTGCTAGTAGTATTAATACTATTGTTATTATTATTATCATTCTATTAGCTACTAATGCTGCTGGTGTTACTTCTGTCACTGTGCGGGACTCGTGATATACCATTATAAGGGTTTCAGCTACTCAGCTATTGGTGGTCTTACCTGTGGTACTGGCACGTATTACTAGAAAAATCCGTTCCGTTATTACTATTACCAGTAGTATCACTCTTCTAGCTACTGATGCTGCTGGTGTTACTTTTGTTACTGTGCGGTATTTGTAATGTGATCATCATTACTCTTCTTAGTAGGTATCAAGGCTTCTCGCCATTGCTTTTACAGGTATTATTATCATTCCATTAGCCACTGCCGCTGCTGGTGTTACTTCTGTTACTGCGCGGTAGTAGTAATATATCTTTGCTACTCTTCTTAGTAAGTATCAAGGCTTCTCGTTATTGATTTTACCTGTATTCTTACTATTATTCTATTATCTACTGCTGGTGCTGGTGCCACTTCTGGTACTATGCGGTACTCGTAATATTATCACTGTTACTCTCCTTAGTAGGCAGCAAGGCTTCTCGCCATTGACTTCAGCGGTATTACTTGTGGTTCTCTGGGGCATCCGTAGTAGTAGCATGACCAACAGTCTCCTTAGCAGGTAGCAGGGCTTCCAGCTACTAATCTAGCTGGTATTCCTTCTGCTTATGTGATTGTATCTTCAACATGAATGTTACTGTTATGACTCTCCGTAGTAGCTAGTAAGATCTCTTGCTACTCACTTTACGTCTATAACCTTTGTTATTACTGTGAGGCGTTACACATATGTAAAATTACTGTTACTACTACTGACCCCAGAAGGTAGTAAAGCTTCTAGGTACCAATCTAGATGGTCCTCTGCTAGCGTATGGTATCCTTAGTATTATTATTACTGTTATTACTCTCCGTAGTAGCTAGTGAGATCTGCTGCTACCCATTTTATGGCTATAACCTTTGTTGTTACTGTAAGGCATTACACGCGTGTGATATTACTATAACTACTTCCCCCCCCGCTGGTAGTGAAGCTTCTAGCTACTAATCTAGCTGGTATTCCTTCTGCTAGTGTGGGGCACTTTTGATATTATAGTTACTGTTATCGCTCTCCCTCGTAGCTAGTAAGACCTCTTGCTGCTCATCTTACGGCAATAACCTTCTTATTGCTGTGAGGCATTACACGTATGTAATATTACTATAATCACTACTCCCCCATGCGGGTAGTAAAGCTTCTAGCTACTGATCCAGCTGGTTCTTCTACTGCGAGTGCAAGGTATCTTTAACAGCATTATTACTGTTATTACTCTCCGTAGTAGCTAGCCAGATCTTTTGTCACTCATTTTACGGCTATAAGCTTTGTTACTACTGTAAGGCGTTGCACTTATATAATATTTTTATAACTGCTACTCACCCCAGCAGGCAGTAAAGCTTCTAGCTACTTATCTAGCTGGACTTCCTTCTGCTAGTGTGAGGTATCTTTAATTTTATTACTACTGTTATTACTCTCCGTAGCAGCTAGTAAAATCTCTTGCTACTCATTTTACGGCTATAACCTTTGTTATTATTGTGAGGTGTTACACTTCTGTACCATTACTACAACCACTACTCACCCCAGCAGATAGTAAAGCTTCTAGCTATCAGTCTCGCAGGTCCTCCTTCCGTTACTGTGGGGTATTCACACTGTGGGATATTTGAATACTATTCTCTTCTTTTTCGTAGTAGCTACGCATGCCTTTAAAAATATTATAAAGGCCGTCAGCTAGGAACGCATCCCGCTTCTAGCATGCGTGTTCTGTGCTTAAATGTAGTAAAGGAAACTATGCAGAGAGGACAGAGGGTACAAGTATTTCTGCAATTCCTTCTTCCCGATGACCATCCAAGCCGTGAAACACAAATAGACACAGTCACATAGATATAGATATAGACACAGATCCAGATATATATGTGTATATATATATATATATATATAAATAGATAGATAGATATGTACGTGTACATATATATACCCACATATATATGTCTTGCACCTGCGAGAGTCTCCTATCATGACCTGTGTTTTTCCAGCGGAAAGGACTGCACGACCAAGGAGGTAATGAAATCTGTGATATGAAAAGTCGATATGGCTTCCACTCGGCTTTCCATTATACCAGCTAATAAGCTTGTTGCGGCAGAGACTTCCGCTACACAAATTACAGAAACCCGTAGCGGCGGTGTCCGCATAGTCCTATACGTATACCCACATATCTAGAGTGAGAGAGACATATATGTGTATATATACATATACATATATACATGTATACGTACATGTATATGATGTTAATGCATACGAGGAGACAATGCCGCAGTCACGGCTTAAAGGTTGTAGCATAAATAGTATCAACGACAACACAGCATCGATATAGGGAGTATAGAAAGGCTTAGGGTGGTGCCTGCATTATCAGATATAAATACATACATAGATACCTACACACATGCACACACACACATACATGCATACGTGCATACATATATATAGACCTGCATACACGATAAGATACGTATAGAAGACAAAGCTGCTGTGGCCCCTTGGAAGCCGTAGCGCCATTAGAGTGGCTGCTGTGGAGCATCGATAGAAGGCGCATAGAAAGGCGTAGTGGCGCCATCTGCATATTCATATATGTGTGTATATATGGATGTTGGTACAGATATGCATGTATGTACGTAGACATGATAATTGGAACGATACAGAGAAGATTAGCATGGCCCCTGCGCAAGGATGACACGCACAAATCGAGAAGTGTAACCAATTTTTTTCCACTTTCCCGACCTGCTATCCACTATTTCGTGCTTCTCTCCTCCTGCTGTCCTATTCATTACTTCCCGCCAGTTCGGGGCAGCGAACTGGGCTCCACTGTCTACTGTATTGTCTGCCGCGTATTGCGCTCCTCCCCCCACCTCCACTTCTCCACCGCCACGCCTCCTTCCTACTATTAGCACTACCTACTATTTCTTTTGCGTCTCTTCTTGCCTCGATCCCGCGCCGGTGACTCCTTAGGTCATTTCCTGTCCACCCTGCTCCGCTCCATGCACCGACGCACCCCTGCTGTTCTCCACTCGTCTGTCCGCCATACCCATCGAATAAGCTGTGCCGGCCAAGTACGAGAACCGGCGCTACCCCGCCACGCGACCATCCAAGCCGTGAAACACAAATAGACACAGTCACATAGATATAGATATAGACACAGATCCAGATATATATGTGTATATATATATATATAAATAGATAGATAGATATGTACGTGTACATATATATACCCACATATATATGTCTTGCACCTGCGAGAGTCTCCTATCATGACCTGTGTTTTTCCAGCGGAAAGGACTGCACGACCAAGGAGGTAATGAAATCTGTGATATGAAAAGTCGATATGGCTTCCACTCGGCTTTCCATTATACCAGCTAATAAGCTTGTTGCGGCAGAGACTTCCGCTACACAAATTACAGAAACCCGTAGCGGCGGTGTCCGCATAGTCCTATACGTATACCCACATATCTAGAGTGAGAGAGACATATATGTGTATATATACATATACATATATACATGTATACGTACATGTATATGATGTTAATGCATACGAGGAGACAATGCCGCAGTCACGGCTTAAAGGTTGTAGCATAAATAGTATCAACGACAACACAGCATCGATATAGGGAGTATAGAAAGGCTTAGGGTGGTGCCTGCATTATCAGATATAAATACATACATAGATACCTACACACATGCACACACACACATACATGCATACGTGCATACATATATATAGACCTGCATACACGATAAGATACGTATAGAAGACAAAGCTGCTGTGGCCCCTTGGAAGCCGTAGCGCCATTAGAGTGGCTGCTGTGGAGCATCGATAGAAGGCGCATAGAAAGGCGTAGTGGCGCCATCTGCATATTCATATATGTGTGTATATATGGATGTTGGTACAGATATGCATGTATGTACATAGACATGATAATAATAATGAACGAGTAGTTGATGCTGCTGCTGCTGTCCCTTGGAGGCGGTGTCAGTCGTAATAGTGATCGCTGCCCACCATCGATATAAGAAGTGTAGAAAGGCATACAGATGATATATGCCTCGAAACTCATACACATGCAATAAACAAAATATATAGGGAGGCAATGCTGCTGCTGTTCATCCGCCGGGGAGAGAGTTCTAAGCGCAGCCGCGTCTGCTGGTTCTGCTGCTGCTGCTCCTGCTACAGCTGCTGGCCCTGCTGCTGCTGCTACAGCTGCTGCTACTGCTGCCGGCAGACGGGTGCCACTGGGGCGCGGGCTGAACGTCGCGCGTCTCTGTCGCACCACTGCTGGTACCAATGCTGTTGCTGTTGCTACTCGTTGTGCTGCTCCTGCCGATGCTGCTGCGTGCCGTGCGGCTGTTACTCGTGATGCTGCTGTGGTTGTCGCCGCGATTGCTGCCGCTGCAGCCGCTGATGCTGCTGTTGCGGCTGCTGCTGGTACTGTTGTGGCCGCTCATGCTGTTGTTGCGGCCACCGGATGCTGCTGCTCCTGTTGCTGCTGCTGCTGTTGCTGTTGCTGCTGCCGTTGCTGCTGCTGCTGCTGCTGCAGTAGCTATTGCTGTTCATGTTCTCGTGGCTGCTACTGCTGCTGCAGCAGCTTGCTGGAGTTGACGACAATGCCCTCCCCGTCGACGGTGTAGAGACGCCTGTTGCGAGTGCTGCTGTTGCTGCTATTACCAGTACTGCTGCTGCCGCTGTTGTTGCTGCTGCTGCTGCTGTTGCTGCTGCTACCATTGCAACTTCGAGCTAGCTACCGCCGCGGCTCCCTCGGGAGACACTGCTGGTGTGTCTCGCAGCCAGCACGGCTGGTCCGTGTGGGGTTGGTGCTTTCTCTGTTCTTCCCTGCAGCTGCTGTTTTGCAGACGTTGGTGGTGTGTCTCGCAGTCGGTACGACTAGTCTGTGTGGGGTCTGTGTTAACTCTTTTCTTCCATGCTGTTGCTGTTCAGCTGCTTCTCCTGTGGCGCTGGGTCGTTTTGCTTTCGTTTGCTGTTGCTGCTATTTGGTGTTGCTGCTGCTGCTTGGTGCTTGCCCTCCGATCCTCTTCCTCTTGCCTCTGCTTCTGCTACTACAGCACATATTACTGCTGCTCCCGTCAGCTCTGCGTACTGTTGCTGCTGCTGCTGCTGCAACTGTTGCTGGTGCTGCTGCAGGTGTTGCTGCTGTTGCTGGTGCTGCTGCTGCTGTTGCAGTGGCTGCTGCGCTACCCGCCGTGCTGGGTTGCTGGTGCTGCTCTGCTCGTCGACCGTAGGGCTGCTCCGTCGCTGCTGATGATCGTCGTCAATGTAGTGCTGCTCCTGTTGCCGCTATGTAGCTCGTGCGGGTCTTGCAACAGGCTGCATATATACACTTTTATATACGCATATATATGTATATTCATATAACGTCGGGCGCGGCATAGCTACTCACCCGAGTGGGCAGCCCGTATCTTGTATTTCTGCTGCTGTTGCTGCTGTTGCTATGTAGGTATTGCTCGTCTCGCAACAGGCTGCACCTCTGCTGCGAAGCCGCATCAGCAGCAGCAGAAACAACGGCAGCAGCAACGGCAGTAGGAGCAAGAGCAGCAACAGCACCAGCTACAGCTTCAGCAACAACAGCAGCACAGCAGCAACACCAGCAGCAGCACCAGCAGCAACACCAGCAGCAGCAGGGCCAGCAGCAACAGCAGGGGCGCAGCAGCAGCGGCTGGAGCTGGAGAGTGGAGCGCTATATACAGCGGCAGGAAGCAGGAGGCGAAGGTCTTGCAGTAATGGTGTATGATAGATAGAAACGGCGTAATAGCAGCAGCAACAGCAGCAGCAGCCTCAGCAACACGCAGACAGCAGCAGCAGGTACGAAGCGGCTGAGTGTGCAGCGACGCTGGTGGGTGGCAGCAGCCAACAGCGGCAGCACCAGCAGTAGCGGCAACAGGTTGACCTGCTGCGGGTTTTGTGTGTGTCCGTGGTGTCTAGAAGCCACTGACCAGCGTACTACCAGTAGTAGTAGTAGTTGCGCGCATAGCGGCGACAGCAGCGGCCGCTGCTTACTAGTAATAGTAGTAGTAGCTATCAGGGCAGCAAGAGACGCAGCAGCAGCAGGCCTTGTGTGAGTGAAGCTAGTAGTAGCTAACACAACAGCAGCAGCAGTGGCAGCAGCACCAGCAGCTGCTACAGCGATGCATGTTACGGGGGTCCACTAGGGTGCAAGGAGAGAGTACCATTATCAGCAGCACTGGCGGCTGCGGCAGCAACGGGCAAGGCTGCACCCCTGCCTAGGAACTGGTATTTATGTACATATACGTATATGTGTATATACGTATACATAGATGTACCTACATCCATACATATGTGTATATATCTGTATATATATGCCTATATATATAGATATAGATATTTCCATAGTCGGAGAGGGCGGGCGATAGAAGAAGAAGAAGCCTACTCCTCCTCCTCCCGTCTCCAGAGCAACAGCAGCCGCAACAGCAACTCACAGCCTTCGTTCTGGGAATACTGTTCGTAAGTATGGTAACAACGAGCGTACATACGCTTTCTGCCAACAGCGGGTGGAACTGCTGCCTCTGCAGCCGAATACGCACCTTTGAAGCGCCGGCAAGAGCAGCAGCACCAGCGAGAGTGTTATACACATCTACATCCGGCGGCGGCAGCAGGAGCAGCAGCAGCGGCAGCAGGGGTGTGCGATCTATTATATATCTATGTATATATCTGTACATATATATGTGTATAGAAGGGGGGAGGCAGCAGAAGCAGCAGCAGCTGCAGCAGGGGTCTGAAATCCGTTGTACATGTATATATACGTATATATATGTATAGGTATATATATATATATATATATCAGGCGGCCAACCGCAGACGCAGCAGCAGCGGGAGCAGGGGCCTGAGATCAAATATAGAAATACACGTATATATATATGCATATATATATATATATATATCGGGTGGCGCTAGCAGAAGCGGCAACAGCGGCCGCAGGGGCGGGAGATTTATCATATAGGTGTCTATATGTATATATGCATATATATATATGTATAGCAGCCGGCGGCGGCAGCCGCACCAGCGGGCGTAGTGTAGTTCCTAGTTACAGACATCCGCCCTGCCTCTGTATAATGAGAGCTGCAGCACTAAGGAGACCCCCGACGGCGGCAATACGACCACCAGCAGCAGCAGCGAGGCAGGTACATATATTTGTATGAATATTCATAATCAAGCGTACACGTGTCCATATACATATATATAGAGAGAGATATATATGTATATGCGTACATATTTGACATGCAAAGTGAGGTTCAAGTGCCTTCTTTATGCCAGAGGTTACTGCAGCTATGGGTTGCCTTAACCGCGGCAACGCAGTAATACGATATATACATACATACACACATATATATGTGTATGTATATATCTATATATATTCATGTATGTCGCTATGTTGAGAGCTGCCGCAGTTAGGGAAGGAGCCCTGGGGGTGAGGGGGCGCTGCAGCAACAGCAGTGGCAAAAGCAGGGAGGTGAGGGCGGCCTCGGGAGGAGGGATGAATATACATAGATATATACGGATAGGGCGCGTTGAATATACAAGAAGAAGAGGAACAAGTAGAAGGAGCAACAAGATAGTATAGTAATAGCAGTGATCATAATCGTCGTACTAACAGCAATAATAACAGTCGTGTTTGTAGCGGTAATCCGTTGGTAATCATAGTAACAATAATACTAATAGTTGAGTATATCAATCATAGTAGTAGTAAGTATCTTAGTAGTAACCCTGACTAATTAATAAAGATAGTAGTAGTGACTGTAAGTGACAATAGCAGTCATAAAGACAACAAGTGTAATAATGTTGATAATAGTGACGATAATAGTAATGGTATCCTAGTAGTAACCGCAATAGTAATAATAAAGGTAGTGATAGTAAGTGTAACCAGCGATCGTGTCTGTAGTGGCTATAAGTTAGTGACCATAGTAACAGTAATAGTAGTAGTTAGTAGTGGTAATGATTGTAGGAACGACTATCCTAGTAGTAATAATTTTAGTAAGTTAATAACGGTAGTAGTAGTAGGTGTAAGGGACAATAGCACTCATAAAAACAATAATAGGAGATATGATGATTATAGTAACGATAATCGTCATAATCATCCGTACATTACTGGGCTCCCTACGAGCAGATCTGGCAGGAAGTGTGCTGTTAATTGTCTGGACTCAAATCTTGATATGAAGCAATATGTAGTATATCTACATACGTACGTATATACATATATATATACTTAAAATACCTCAGTAGCAGTCCTAATAGTAGCAAGAAGGATAGCAAGAATAGGTGTAAGTGACACAGCAGTCACAAAAAGAATAATAGTAGTAATGTTGATAGTAGTAACGACAATAGTAATAATAACATCTACAGTAGCAGTAATGACGGTGGCAATGACGGTAGTGATAGTAGTAACAATTATATGGCTAATACTAATAGCAATAATGGTAGTAGTTGTAATAATGATAATAATACCAGCTATTATTATATGATAGTAGTAGTAGTAGTGAGACATATAGGGCAAATAATAATATCAATAATAATAGGAGCTGCAATAATAAGAATACCAGCTATTATAATATGGTGGTAGCATTAGTAGTAGGAATTATCCGGCCATCAAATGTCAATAATAATAGTAGCTGCAATAATAATATCAGCTAGTATATGAAAGTAGCATTAGTAGTAAGCATTATATGGCTAATTATAATAGCAATAATAATAGTAGCTGTTAAAGTTATTATATCAGCTATTATTATATGGTGATAGTTTCAATAGTGATAAGTGTGCGGCTAATGAGGTTGGCAATGACAATAGTAGCTGTAATAATAACACTAATATCAGCTACTATTATATGGGTGATAACAGTAGCAATGATAATAGTAGCTGTAATAATACTACCAGTATTAGCTGTTTAATCCCGATAGTTCCACGCTACATAGGCGACGTTCTTCTCTTTGCACACAGGTGTGCTGCTGCTACGGCTTCTGCTACTACCGCTGCTACACCCGCTGCGCGTGCTGTGGATGCTGCTGGTGATGGCTGCTGCTGTTGCTGCTGCTGCGGTATATGCTGCTGCTGTTGCTGCTGCTGCGGTTCATGCTGCTGCTGTTGTTGCTGCTGCGGCTCATGGTGCTGATGTTGCTGCTGCGGTTCGTGCTGCTGCTGCTGCTCCTTGAGCTGCTGCTGCAGCGACGGCCGCTGCTCCCGCCACAGGAGCTACAGCAGCAATACGTGTAGCCGGAAGGTCTGTCACCACCGTCTGCACGAGTCTCTACGTAGGGGACACTTTGTGTTTATATTGAAGTCATGTATGTATATATATGTACATGTATGTATACGTATGTAGGTTTTTATATATTTGTATGTACGCGAACTACTTGATTTGCTGCGACTGCTGCGGCTGCTGCAGAGATTACACGAACAATGTTATACATCTTTTTGCTGTGCCGTCGATATTATTTTGGTGCCACTGCTGCTCTTATGCATGTCCTGTCGCTTGGCCTCTTCTAGCTTGTGCTGCTGCAGCAGCACTCCTAGTGCTGCTGCTGCGGCTGCTGCTGCTGCAGCAAGACTACGGCTGCTGCAGCGGCTGCTGCACGCAGGGGGGAGATCTATCTCACGCCCTCCAATATCAGCGGTGTAAAACAAGGAGGCGGCGGAGCAGGCGGCTGCTTATGAAGAGCCGGCAGCAACACGACTGGCTGCTTGCTGCTGCTGCTGCTGTTGTCGGTGCTGCTGCAGCTGTTGCTGCTGCTGCTGGCTTTCCGCTGCTGCTGCTGCTGCTGCTGCTGGGTGGTAGTAGATTGCTCCTGCTGCTGCTGCTGCTGGCGTTCTGTTCGTTCGAGTACTAATGAAGCTGCTTTAAAGTCGCGTTCTGTTGCCTATGAATAACACAGAACCATTCGAGTATATATGTATGTTTGTCTACACACCTGTTTGTCTATATATATATATATATATATATATACGAATGTACGCGTAGCAGTACATGCGTATGTATATGCATACGTTTGTCGATACATAATATATATAGATGTATATATGCATATACGGATACTCGCATACGGGCGTATGTATATATATGTATACGTATACGTACGCATCCTTCTACTATCTCGGAGTAAAAAGAATGTAGAGAGAAGTAGTGCTACCTTGACCCTCTCTTTCACCTTACGCTGCCGACTGTCTCCTCCCCGTAAATAACGGAGTATTACGACACAAGGTCTCCCTCCTCTCCTAGTTCCGTGCACGTAGATATGTATATACAGGTAGATCCATATATCTATTCCTGCATATATATGTATATACATGCAAATATATATGTATCTATGTATAATACATTTGTACATTATGTAGATGTCTATGTCTGCTGCTGCCCTGCAGCAGCGGTCGGTGCGTACGGCTCGCTACCAGTCTCTCGACCTTCAGGCTACATCTTGCCCCGTCCTGGTAGCACCGGGCAACTACAGGCACACAGCTTCGTTAGCCAGTTTTTCTTCTTCGCACCAATATATATATATATATATATATATATGCATATATGCATGTATTTGTACATACATGTACATATGTATAGATATATATAAATATATATGCATATACGTAAGGTACGTAGATATGTATATGCTGCTGGTCCTCCGCGGCAGAGGAAAGATACTATTAGCGTTTTCTTTACCATCATGCCGCAGGTTGCCTCGTCGCAATAAATCCGGCAGAGACACAGCCGTCTTTCTTTGCTTCTTCTGTATCTACGTATATATATATATATATATAGATGTGTGTATATTTTCTGCTGGTCTGTGTTGGTCCAACGTATTCATAACTACCCTCCGTACAGGTTGTCTTGTGCCGGCAAATACCGAGGGACGCTGGCACACAGCCTTCTTCCTCCTCTTCTGTATGCAGATGTACGTATATATATCTATCTATCTACCTATTTATATATATATATATATATATATGTATATATATAACTGCTGCCGTGCAGTAGTAGATGATATCTCCCAGTGCTATTCCGTACACCATCACGCTATAGATTGCCTCCTTCTGGGGTGTCCCGAACAAGTATCCAACCTTGCAGGCGAAGGCCCTTTTGTTCTCCCCCAGGTGTGCACGTATCTCTACACCTGTATACGTATATATGTCTACGCACACACATGTACAAGTATACGTATACGCAGATACTTATATATATATATATATATATATATATATTGTGCACCCCTCTGGTAGTGGAACGCGTAGACCATAGCCCCTCACACCTGTACGCTAAAGGATGCCCTTCTATTAGCAAGTAACGAAGATATGTAGGCACACGGCCTTTCTCGTCTTCTTCCTATTTTTGTTCTTTCTTTCGTTCCTCCTGTCGCAGCCGGTGTTCCTGCTCTTGTTGATGCTGCTGCTGTTGCTGGTGCCGCTGTTGCTGGTACTGCTAGTGCTGCTGCTGGTGTCTCTATTGCTGCTGCTATTGCCGGCGCTATTGCTGCTGCTGCTGCTGCTAGTACCGCCGCTGCAGACCCGGCGCGGTCATTCGTGTTCGTATACCCAGCAGATTCGCAGCCGCAGTAGTACGTAGCAACAGCGGCCGGAGGACGGGGGGGGGGGGACAGAAATATCGGCAACAGCAGCAGCAGGACAAAGCGCAGCAGCACGTATATCTGGGGACAGCAGGAGCCGTAGCAGCAGCAGCAGTAGCAGCAGCAGCAGCGGCAGCAGGAGGAAGTGCAGCAGCACGTATATCTGCAGACAGCAGGGGGAGTTGTGCTGTCTCCATCGCTCACCCTCCAGCAGTTAGAGGAGCTGCCCCAGCAAGAGGCAGCAGGTGTAATATAACAGAGGAGACGTACAACGGCAATCATTACGAGATAGGTGCTGGCTTGGCTGTGTGTCGCCCACGGCCACAGCAGCCACAATACCAGGAAGGCAGCTTTTGTCGCTGTCTCTGGGCAGCAGCACCAGCGCCAGCCATATCAACAGAACGACTGCTGTCCTCCTCCCCGCAGCAGGCGGCAGCAGCAGCAGCAGGGGCAGCAGCAGCAGCGGCAGCAGTCACGGCAGCGACACTACCAGGAGAGCGAGGACCGCCTCCAATACGGTTAGTAGCACCAGCGGCAACAATACCAGAATAGCAGCTACTACCTCCATCTTCGCTCAGAGCAGCGGCAGCAGCACATATAGTAGAGGAGCAGGTATCATCTCCTTCTCTTGCCGGCAGCAGCAGGCACCACCAGCATAACAGAAGAGCAGGCGCTGGCCCCTCCCTCACGAGCAGCAGCAGCAGCGCCAACACCAGAAGAGCAGGTACCGTCTCCATCTGTTTCCAGCAGCGGCAGCAGCAGCAGCATACCAGAAGAGCAAGTGCTGTTTTCCGCTCTCGTTGTCGCCAACAGCAACAATAGCAGAAAAGCAGGTATAGTATCCGTCTCTCACGAGCACCAGCAGCAGTAGCAGCACTTTCAGAACAGCAGGTGCCGCATCTAGATCCCAGCAACAGCAGCAGCAGCAGCAATGGCGGGCGACCAGGCACGGCCTCCCTCTTTTATGAGCAGCAGCAGCAGCACGAGGAAGAATATCGGGAAAGCAGGTGCTGTTTCCCCCTCTCATCAGCAGCGGCAGCAATAGCAGAAAAGTAGATACCATATTCGCAGAGCGCCTGCTGCTGCGGTTCCACACAGCCGTAGATGCCAACCAAGCCCCTCCTGCTACTGTCCTCTAGTATTACTCTGGCTGCTCCTGCTGCTGCAGCTGCGGCTGCTGCTGCTACTGCTGCTGCTACTGCTGCTGTTACTGCTGCTGTTACTGCTGCTGTAGCTGCTGTTGCTGTATCAAGGGGCGCCACACGAACTCTTACAATATAAGGAGTAGCAGGACCGTAGGTGCTATTGATATACTAAGTAGCAGCGTCGCAGCTGATGCTGCCGTAGTAGCATATGGCCGTTTTCGGTATACAACGCATGCTAGCTGCTGCTGATATAATAAGTGACAGCACCTGAGCCGCTATTGATATATTCAATTAAATAGTAGCTGCTGCTGCAGTTGATACTAGGTAGCGGCACTGTGGCTGCTGACGTATAATGTAGCAGCATAGTAGCTACTGTTAGTGTATTAGGTAGCAGCATAGCAGCAGCTGTTAACATATCAATTAGCAGCCTAGCAGCTGCTGCTGCAGCAGCAGCAGCAGTATGGCGCCAGCACCGCAGTCCCGCAGTGGGGCGGGGCCATGCGTGCTGTCCGCTCTACTGTCGTTGCTAGTGGCTGACACCCCACACTTTGCTTTTCAACAGCAGCAGCTGGAGGTGCTGCTGCCACGGGCCTGCTGCAGCAGCCACTGCACCGACGATATTAGTAATAGCCTCATCACCAGAGCCAGCTGCAGAAGCAGCAGCAGAAACAGAAGCAGCGCAGAAGAAGCAGAAGCCGAAGACGACGAAGAAAAAGAAGAAGAAGAAGCAGCAGCAGCAGATGCAGCAGCAGCAGCAGCAGAAGCAGCAGCAGCAGAAGCAGCAGCAGCAGAAGCAGCAGCAGCAGAAGCAGCAGCAGCAGCAGCAGAAGCAGCAGCAGCAGCAGAAGCAGAAGCAGAAGCAGCAGCAGCAGCAGAAGCAGCAGCAGCAGCAGCAGAAGCAGCAGCAGCAGCAGAAGCAGCAGCAGCAGCAGAAGCAGCAGCAGCAGCAGAAGCAGCAGCAGCAGAAGCAGCAGCAGCAGCAGAAGAAGAAGAAGCAGCAGGAACAGCTGTAGCAGTAGCAAGCGTGGAGGGTACTCATGAAAGCCTGTAAGAGAGAAGAACCGCCTTTTGTAGTGCCTTTGTCTCTGTCCAGCTTCGCAGCAGCAGCGCCAGTAGCAGCAATAATAGCTGCGGCGCCAGCAGACCAGCCGCAGCAGTATTAGCAGCAATAGCAGCGATCGCAGCGGCACCAGCAGCAGCAGCAGCTTGAGCAGCAGCACCAACAGTGCCAGCAGTAACAGCAGCAGCAGCAGCAAGCGGCGTAGCCGCCGCAGCAGAATGCAGAAGGAGCAACAGCAGCAGGAACAGAACTGACAGCAGAAGCAACAGCAAAAGGAGTAGCAGCCGCAGCAGTAGTTGGAGGAGCAGCAGCGACAGCAGTAGTTGGGTTTGCGGCGGCAGCGGCAAAATTGCAGCTGCAGCACAAACGCCCGCAGCAGCAGCAGCAGCAGCCAGGAAAGTAGTAGCAACAGCGGCAACAGGAGCGGTAGCAGCAGCAACAGGAGCGGTAGCAGCAGCAACGAGGAGCGAAGCAGCTGCACAGGTGGAGCGCTTTGGTCCGCTACTGCGATGGCATACAAGCGCAGGAAAATCTTGAGTGATGGTGAGCAGCTATCACCGTGCTGCAGCAGCAGCAGCAGCAACAGGAGCAGCAGCACCGACACCAGCAGCAGCACCAGGCGCTTTTACGGCTGCAGCAGGCAGAGCAGCAGCAGCAGCCGTGTTCTTTGTTGCCGCCGCAGCAGATCGCAGAGAGACACATACTGCTGCTACAGCAGCAGCAGCAGCGACGTACGGACGAGGAGCAGCAACAGCAGCACCAGCAGCAGCGGCACCAGCAGCAGCGGCCTTTAATGCAGCAGACGCCCGCCCCACAGCAGCCGCATATCCCCACGGAGCAGCCACACCCGCTGCACCGGCAGCACCATGCTTCTCTTTCGTTGGAGCATCAGCACCCTATGTACCTGCAGCACGCACAGCAGCAGCAGCCGCAGCAGCAGCACGTCTCCCTGCAGCAGCAACAGCAGCAACATGCCTCTCTGCAGCAGCATATGCGCTCTCTGATGCCTATACAGAAGGAACAGTCACAACTCCTCCCCACACAGCAGCAAGACATGCTCTTGCTCCAGCAACAGCACCAGCGAGACATGCTATTACTACTGCAACAGCCGCAGCAGAAACAGCAACCACTTTCACAACTGCAGCAGCAGCAGCACGCTCACCTGTTCGCACAGCTACAGCAGCAGCAGCCTCACGAGCGGCACGAACGGCACACCCGGCCTCAGGTGCACCAGCTTCAACAGCGCCAGCATCAGCAGCAGCAACAGCACCAGCGTCAGCAGCAACAGCACCAGCGTCAGCAGCAGCAGCACCAGCAACAGGAGGGGTATCCGCAACAGCAACAGCAGCAGCAACGGCAGCGGCGGCAGCAGCGCTGCCACATAGAAGAGACCCCCCCGGCGGTAACGTGGGAAGAAGCAGAGCAGCAGCAGCAGCAGCACCAGCAGGAGCCGAGTGCAGCTCACGCCGTCTACGTGGTAGAATCAGAAGAGAGCGAGGAGCTGCCACATAGTATCGAGTGCCTGCATATACATGATACACTACAGCAGCAGCACGTAATAGAAAGCACGCAGCAGCCAGTAGTAGAAGAACCTTCGAGTGATGACGAGGGTATCATCTGTCGTACATACACCGCCATGCGTCGTGCTGACCACTGCGGTATTTCTGTAGCACCCGCAGCAGAGGAGGAGGAGGAGATTGTAGGCGAGAGTCGCCGCATCAAAGAGAGAGAACGAAACGAAGCAGACGACAGTGATGAGGAAAATATAGTAATACACGCTACCCCTTGGCCTGCTAGTTGCGGTAGTGCTAGTACTACGGCTGGAGTATCACAGCAGCAGCATATACAAGCAACAGACTGCACGATGACAGCAGCAATAACACCTCCTCCAGCATTGTCTGTATATGCTGCCGCCGCAGCAGCAACAGCACCTCCTCCTGCAATGTCTGGTTTTGCAGCTGCAGCGACGCCACCTGCTACAGCACCGGTACATGCAGCAGCAGAAAGTACAGCTCCTGCTATGCCAGTCCAACAGCAGCAGACGCTGCTGCTGTTACAGCAGGAGAAGGAGCAGCAGCAGGCGTAGAAGGGGGCAGGTAGTCCGATTGTCCTTGCCCCACACGTGCCTACTATGAAGAAAAGTGCAGGGCCGAGTGGGACGTGCGAGAGAGATGCTGCAGTTGACGCGTGAAATAACACTGCAGCAGCAAACGCAGAGGACACTATGGCAGATGTAGAGGAGATCGCAGAAGAGGACGACCTGGCACGAGCGGGTGCTGCCGTGTTTGCGCACGGAAAAGTATACATACCACCTCGAAAGTCCGCGTATCGTCCATCTAGGTGGACGCCTGCGAGTACGAGATCGATGCTACTGACGCATCAGAAGCAGGGGGTAACAGGTTAAAAATTCCAGGGCTTCTTATGAGCAGCGCTTCGCACCTGTGGCATCTGGCGGGGTGCTTCCGATGAAGATGGTGGCCTGTAGCGGGCGACTGCATTCTCCCTGAGGATATCGATTGCTGCAGCCCTGGGCTCCGCAGCCGCAGGGACTCGCATCGCGACAACGGAAACCGACACCGTCCGCATCTGTGCAGTTAGTGATCTGTTTTGTGTGCGTGATTATACGTGTACATGTCTCCATTCCACCATCTGTTTCAGCGGGGACGTGAGCTTGTGCGGCACGCCGTATGATATGCTCTTGCATACGCCTACGACTGTAGTTAGAACCTCGCTGTAATTTCGCAAGTCTCGGGGACCGCAAGAGCCTTCGACGGGAGCGCGCAGACCGCAGTCGTCAGCGACTCCGAGGCTGAAGGCCCCGAGCACCCGGTGCCTTGTAGTGAGTGCCTGCAAAACTCACGATATGTTCGTTCGTACCGGACGAGATTATTGTCAGACAGCTGGGAGGCGGAGGCAGCTGCTGTCAAACTCTCCTCCGGGCACAGAAACATTGCAAACGAAGCGCATCTGTCTGCACAAACGTAGTAGGGGCGCTGGGGTACCCCGCACATCGTCAGGCTCACAACAACAACAGGTCTACAACCCGGCAAAAACGCCCATTCACCCAGTTATTACCGGTCCACCCACCGGGTAAAGCATACGCTTGCCTAGCAAGTAACGTTTGTGTGCGTTTATCGTGGAAGGCTAGTACACCTGCCGGATCAGTGAGCACCTAGGTAGCTCTGCAGGCACTAAGATGCAGAACAGTAAGGAAGGTGGTAAGTAAGGAACTAGACGAGGCGCGCGGTGCCGCCGGCGTAATCCACGGAGGCCACACGCAAAGTTAGAGTCTGCGCAAAGGGACGCGCCGCGCTGAACGGGAGGCGCTCACCAAACAGGAAATCATTTAGTAATCGACGGCTTTAGGCGCGCTTGCACTCGGCAGAACTGCAGCCGGCAGGTCGAAGGCCATACTGGCTGTGCTCTTTGGCGCGACATGGCGCTGAGCGTGTGGTTCGAGGCGACCCAGAGGCGCGACATGCATGGAGAATGGTGAGCGAATGCGGCACAACTGGCGATACCATAATTTTCGCCGGAGGGCTGAATCGGAGTACATGCTCATCGGCGGCCGCTTAAGGTACCCTTGCAGGCGTCGGCATAGGAGGGTCGCGAAGTGCGCGCGTTCGCTCGGCTGTTCAAGCGCACAGCTTCCGCAGAAGAGAGGTCTGCGAAGACAACGGCGAAAAATGTTTACAAGCGACAAGTCTAAAACACACGTCTTTCGGCATGTGTATCTCTCGGCAGAAAACTCGCGTTTAGCGACAACTTCCGACTCAGGCGGCCGAAAGCACAGCCATAGAGCTGACGGTTCGACAAACCTCCCCGCGAGCACCACTGGAAATTGTGGCATGCAGCGGCACATGATCAAATGACCGCTTTGTACCGCAGCTGATGCTGAGAGCCTCCGGCACAACTGTATACTGTGTCTAGGTGAAACCGGCTTGGACGTTGCATGTGCGCAGCGACCGTCTGGTCGGCTACTTCTTTTCTTTGGAATGGCGGGCAGACATGTTCGTGAAGCGCGCGTTTCATTTCACCTCGGATGGCACAGGTATGCGCTTCCACTTTCGGCGTGCACGCGTGCGGCACGATCTACGGGGACGTCGTACATGGTCAGAAAGAAGAGTATCACCAGGTCACGCAAACATGCGAGGTCACCTCCTCATGCGGGAGCCACTCTGCGAGCGTGGCACCAAGAATCTGTCAGACCAACGAAAGAGTGCCGGCGCACGTACAAGCCCGTCATTGAAGCGGCTGCCACATATTCTCCTAGCAAACGTTTCACCTTGAGGGCACCTGGGCAGAGATCAGGCGCTAGCGGCAGGCCGCTAGTGGACACTTGGTAGCCCGAGCGAAGCGCGTACCCTGTAAACCGAGAAGGCATTGTAGGTGAGTGCATAACACGATGGCAGATGGGAAGAGTGGAAGACTTTCCTACTGTTAGGCCAGTCAGCCAATTGTGCTCGCACGCGTACGAGAACGCTGCCCGTTTGTACTGGTGATGCCAGTTACCGTGTTCATCTGCAAACAATGCGACAAAAATAAGGCGCCGTGTAGACCCTCAGTATGTTGGGTGACGTTGCATTCCAAACGCGCCCCACGTGCTGGCAGCGCATTCCTGCTGACACCTGTAGGTAAGCCGCTGTGCTCACAGGAGAAGGCCGCCGGCGTTGTGCTAGAAAAGCTGCTACCAAGCGACAACACTCTTCGTCTCCAGTGTCTGAGCTGCCCGACTGGGTGGGACGCCTGGTTCCCCGCTGCTTCAGGGCGGCCTGCACAGGGAGTCCGTCCTGATGGTTACCCTTCATGTGTATGAATACTAGAATGCCAGAGGGAACTAGACAACGTTCACGGGTGACCGAGTGCGGTGAATACGGGTGTAAAGCGGCACTAGGAGCGACACGACAAAGAATGCATAGACATGCACGCGGACTACACACAACAGAACTGACAGCGAAGAAAGCTAGACAAGCGAAGGCCTCGCAACCATGTACACAAGGACACACCGAATCAACACGAGGGACACAGAAGTACGTGTGAAGCTGCGTAGAGGTGGAAAAGGGCTCTACGCGAGGTATGAGTGCAGGAAGAGATTGAGAGCTGGTAGCAGATGCCTCAGGATGAAAACTGCGCAAGCTGCATGTTCGCACCTTCCCCCCTGAGTAGTACACACGGCGTACCAGACATGCGGGGCCTTGACTCTACTGCTATCCGGGTATTCCTGCGCGTGTGTCTGGGTCTGTGTATGTGTACGTCGAACTGCACACACGCGTAAGTACGTACTCACATATGCGGCTACGCTGCTAGCTGCGCTCAAGCACACCTGCACTGCACTTCCGATGGCCGCACGGCGCCCGAGACTGTGTCTCCTTCGTACATGTGTGCGCCTTCCGGCTTGCCGTTCAAAAACGGGTGGAAAAAAATTTCTGAGACAGGTCACGGGTTGGTCCGCACACACGTGCAGCGCTAGAAAGCCGAAAAGAGAGGTTGTCGCGTGCACTGAATCAGGTACATAATCTAGAACCGCAGCTTTTTCCCAAAAACCCGTTGTCGCCCCTGACGTCCAGAGATTCCGAACTGGATAGAAAGACGTCCTGCATCAACTAAAGGCGCACCGCTTCTGTACCGTCACCTGTGCTGTTACGTGGCATGTTACGGACTTCTTACGAATCTGTTCTCAGCAGTTGCATGAGTACAAAGGTCGCGCTGTCGTGTATGTTCTGACCGAGAAGTACGAAAACTACCCTCATTGGCATAGAGAAAAGCCTTCTCTGCGTAGGGTGGTCCCAGAATCCGCGCAGGCAGCCTAGGACCCCCCGGCGTACGGGAATGAGATGCACTACGCAGATTGCGCGCATGAGGGAGATTCTAGAGAAAGAGCAGTTTTAAAACGTGTTACATCCGTAGACGCCGCCTGCTCCTTCCCCTTCTCCCCGGTGGAAACGGTTTCTGCGCTTCACTTCGGTACCCTAACCAGAGAACAGTAGCATTCATAAAGGATGTGGGTGGACCGCCTCTGCCAGTACCTTTAAAGGCGGATAAATTCATATTTCGAAAGGAGCTCCTGTACACACATGTAGCGCTGTACCTGGTCTTGCAGACTTGATTCCGTTCAACACGTGAAATAGCTACCTTCAGTCCAAGGGGCACAACGGCAGCCCGCTGTAGTCTGCACAAGGGCTGAGAGCACCCGCGACGTACGCAAAACACCACGTAGCCAGCAACAAGGGGGGAAGAAAGAAGCCCGTCTTGTAGGCAGCTGCAGACTCGGTGCATAACCTCCAAGCTTCAAACAAATAAAAATAGCTCCACCACAGCGGCGCTGACAGACATTACCTATAATCCGGGAAAACGCCACCGGTGACGCCATGCAACCTTGTAATTTTGCTATGACCACATCAAGCTCCCTTTTGGCCATTGTACCCATACACAACCCTGGCACCAACCGCCAACAGCAGGTACGTTCAGGTCTGCTGGTGACGCTTCATAATGCTTTCGGCACGCGGCTGCCAGAAAAACATCATTCCGGCGACGGGCGTTTACTGCTGGCAGGTGCGGACCACTATGCCCTGCACGGCTGCTCCACCGGCGCAATCTACGCCGCGTTAGAGCCTAGGCTCAGAGAACATGCAAAGGGAGTCTGGACTCGTGTAGAGCCCCAGCTGTAACGCAAATGCAATTGCCAGCATGCCGGCCGGCAGGCTGCTCTAATCGCGCGGTGTAACTCTCCTCAGGGGCCTTTTAAAAATGTTGATGGCCGGGAGGTGCACCAGGTATGCTAGTGCCCGCCAGGGGGTCTCCTATGAGGTCGTCGACGTTGCCTCCGAGTCGTGACAGCATCCCGTAGGAGCGTCGGCAGGTGTAGAATTAGAATTATAAAGAGAGCCACTATAATCCAAAGGAAAAGGTAGGAACCTACTTCGAGCCCGTATACCGCGCCCCACCCGGCGCTACTGGAAATGCGTTTCTCCATCTCCGAGTCCAAGAAGGGAAAAAGCCAAGCGTGTAGTTGACATCCCACGTCAAACCTCGTCAGCTGCGGTTGCTGAGTTTTTCTGATGCGCCTTTAACCCCTCTTCCCCCCCCCCCCCCCGCCGGATACTCCGTCGAGCCGCCGTCAGATAGCGTTAAAAGCGGCTTGTCGGAAAGCCCACAACGGCGCTGAACTAGTTGTACAAGCGCGTGACTTCAGCCGGTGCCCCTTAAGGTTAACGTAACAGAGTTCAGCTGTACACCAGCAAAGAAGAACGCCCACAATACCATCAGCAGCAGAGCGTGTGTGCGAGAGTGCATCCGGATGCGTCTCGAGCGGTAGACATCAGTGCTAACCACGTGCACAAAGCGACTGTTACGAGCGCGGACTCACTTGAGCGGGGGGTTTCGCCCTACGATGTCGTTCACGTTTTATGCGATTAGTAGGCACCCCAATAAACTATTTCATTGGGTAATACAGCCTCCGCGTCTACGTCGCGTACCCCATCGTCAGGGCCTGCCTGACGCCCGGGTCACGGCAAATTGGATAACGGTACTGCGTCCAACAAGCGAAATTTATGGAGGTGCAAGTAGGTACACGGAGACGTTCTTTGGGTTGCGTGGTGACGGGCGTGCAGATCGCCGGCCTGTCTACACGTTCGAGCGCTGCCGGACACGAGTAACGAGTTCATAAAGGTAGGGAACGTGAGGAACCGTCCAACCAAGGCAGAGAGAAGCGCCTTTTTACTTGTACAAACGTGTTCAACAGCACTGGCCCACCGAACAGCTGCCCGCCGGGATCGCTGGTAGCGCCGGTAACGGCAATGAGCTCTAGGAAGGCAATGGGCACACGGCTTTCTGGGCACGTCCACGACAAGGGAGCTTCTACCGCAAAAGAAGACGACTCAGCGGCAGCGCGGTCTGCTCTATACAACGTCGAAGATCATATGATAGTCTGCAGGCCTACAGCGCATCTCAGCGTACCCCGTGTATTCACGTGCGGCTTCAACCGCATTTCTGCGGGCCCCTTGCTCCTGCAGCTGTTGCGCGTCAGCGCCTGATCAGCGTTCTGGGTAGTAGTCTGTTCACAACTCGAAGCGTCCGTCCGCCAGCTGTGGAGACTTGCGAGACGCGATAACGCGCCTCACGTGGCCGACGGAGAGTTCGTCGCCCTGCAGCTGCCCTAAGAAGGGGCCGGCTGAGTTCTGTTCGCAGTCTTCCTCTCGGGAGAAAAGAACAGCTGGCAAGAGAGGCCGATTTTTTTTTCCGGCTGTCGAAGATATATTCCCAGGAATGCCACAATGCATACAGAACCAGGTGGTGACTGCGCCGAAGAATTATAAGCGGCACGCCAGAGACGCCGTGCCGATATCCTCTTGCGCCTCCTGCTGTTGCTGGGCTTTAGTGCCCTGTTCAGCGTTTCCGCCCCGACTATCCCCCGTTGACGGCCCTCGTTCGCCTGCCGCTACGCCCAGCGCGACGCCTCAAAGGCCGCTTCCTGGTTCGGAAGATGTTGAGAAAGAGCTTAGCCTAATTCCTGCTTGCTGCACTTGCCCTGTGCGAAAGTAGCTAGCAAGAAATGCTGGTTTTCGGCTGCCACGCGAAATGTGTTCCCGGGATAGACACACGGCTTGCGTGCGTGGCGAAGCAATCCGCGGGCGGCTGACATGTAGACGAGTACTCCTGAGACGTCGCCGCAACTTCCAATTTTGCGCTGCGCGCCGCTTGCAACCACGTACCGCGACGCGACGGCGTCGGCATGTCGGCGGCGGGGTCCCTGAGCAGAGATTAGGACGACACGGGCACCGTACTTCCTTAGTGCGGGAAAGCGTGTGAAGACGCTTCTGAGAACGCAGAGCTCATAGGGACGGCCAGGCCGCTGTCAGACGGACGCGCACAGCCGGTCGCCAGGTTCCGCCAGCATGCGGCGCCTGTATTCCTTGCCCGCATCAAAGCTACAATTGGATGCGACTTCGCTGCGAACTGAACCGATTGCGTGCTGCCATCTCTTCCGCCTTCAGAGCTGCACACCCGACGCTGCGGAACACGCAGTGCGACCTTCGGGTTCGCTCAGGTCCTTCTCTAGCAAGCGTCCACCACTTCCCACGAAGCGGATAGTATGGGGCTACTGCGCGGGCTATCTGAGCTCAAACGAGGTCACTTACGCAGTCGACCAGACTTCAAAGGGTCGACCGGGAAAAGAGGAAGTACTAATCTTGTCGCCACGTCTACTCGAAGAGCACACCCGTTCTCCGTCAACTCTCCGTCCGTGGATTGTGGCGGTCCGCGGTCTCTGGATACCTCTGTAGCCTGTCGTAAGGCTACAGTGGAAACGAACGACAGTGCTACAGGTCGAGTCGCTTGTCGGCTGCGGGCAGCCTTCAGCCCGTCTCCGACAGTCACAATTAGACAAGAATTTAGCGCGTCAGTTGCACCTCTTGGCTGGTAGCTGACCACAGCGCCTAAGGAGCAAAACTGTTCCTCGCTACACGCAAAGGTACCTGTCAATACTGCTGCCTGTAGCGTGTGTGGGAGCTACAACCATGCGGATGAGTCATATGTGCAGGTCCCAACGTGCAACTCCTGTTTTCGCCACGAGTACACCCGTTGCGACCCCGGCCTATTCTTCAGCATTGGATTCGCTCACATGGGCGAACCTGCGCAGCGGACGCCCCATGACACGTGCAAGTCAACGTCAGCGAATTGTGAGTACGCGGCGCAGGCACGCCGTCTGCTGCGCTCACAAAACACATTCTGGGAGCGCGCCACTACTGCATTAGTGTGCAGAGTGCCGCGCGAATGTACAACAAATATTCGAACATGTCTTTTTTATTCTCGCTTCATGTACTGCTCGAAGAGCACATTTTGCTCGTCCTTTACTTCCCCATTAATATGTAGAGCGTTGCGCGAATGAACGACGAAAACATGAACGTGTGTTTCTCCTTCTGCCTTCACGCTTCGTGAACTCATTCACATGGGGGGTGAATGTGCGCTTGCGCGATGGGACACTTCCAAGTACGCAGGAGAAGGCATGGGGATGTCCTGCAGCATGTCACGCGTCTCACGTTGGTGCCAACAGAACATGTATGAAAATAGGCTTCTGAAGAAGCAGTTACGCAGGCGTCTGTGTGTCTCTCCTTGCAAGTAAACAACATGCCATGCCTGTACGTAAAGACATGTAGACGGAGGCGGTACTGGTACGACCCCTCGTACTCTGGATTGCGTCTACGATGGAGTTCCTGGTGCAGGAATTGCCATTTTTTGATTCTAGAGTTCCGGAGTACTGATGCTGCGCTACTAGGTTTACCGTGCTCTGCTAAGTACTAGTCTGAGGACACTGATACGGGATGTGCAGACTGATGTCGCCTCTGTTTTTGAAGGTGTTGCGCTGCTCCGGTTTCCCCCTGAGGGGACGCCAGCGTTCCCGCTAATGTTGTGCCAAGCTTCGTCAGACGCTGGAACATCGATGACGTTGCGAGTACCTTACGAACACATATCTATATATATATGTATATGTGGCAACAACTCCTCTAGAGTCCTTGCAAAGAGCTAGATTGATCCCCGATACTGCTGCACTTCGTAGTCGCAGCCAGACCAGATTTGTCAGAGCGTCCGCTAGGCTTCCGCCGTTCGCGCTTGCGTATCGCTTCCGGGCGCATGTTTCTTCGCGTGATGTGAGCTATCAGATGCTACTGTCGTAGCGGCCACAGCCGCTCTCGCGAGACAAATGAATTTTCGAGATAGTCTCGAACTTCTTCTGCGAGCGTCTCGCAGTCTGCTTGGCACAAGCCAAGAAGCTGCAGGCGGTTTCCAGCCGCCAAAGCAGGTGGTTCCACAGAATCACCAAACTAGCAACTAAAGACAAACTCAACGCTATGACCTACGGCTAATTCGGCCTGAGCAGCATGGCAGAATGACAAGCTCAGCAACAACAGACGGCCTCTACTTTATTACACGGCTATCTTAGCGTGGGCGGCGGGCCGGATCAGCAGGGCAGCAACAAGGAACAACTTTCAACTATTATACGGCTGGTGGTGCGGGGACAGCCAGCGAAAACCACCAGACTAGCAATAAAGGATGAAGATTACTTCTTACGATACAATTTAGCCTGGTCAGCGAAACAGGGCCAGCAGATGGGCGACAACAGACAAGTGTGACTCTGGAAGACGGCTAATTCAGCCTGGACAGCAAGGTAGGATTCTATCGCCAGAGCAGCAACATCGGACAGACTCTGTAAGATACGGCTGATACTGGGGCGGACAGCGAGGCTGTACTGGCAAGTCAGAGACAACGGACGAATTCTAAACTATAATACGGCTGACACAGCGTAGGCAGCGAGGCAGAATTACCAAATAAGCAAAAACAGACAAGTTCACCTTTCAATTGTGCTATCAGTATTATAATTACTGATCTTCTTTACTTCATCGGAGTACGGCTGGGTTAGCGTGGGCGATGATGCAGTTATCACTAGATCAGCAGCAACGGGCAAATTCTACCCTACAATACGGCTACTTCAGCGTTGGCAGCGACGCAGGATCACCTAGTCAACCACAACAGATGAACTTTCTCTTATAGTAAGGCAAATCTCGCGTGGGCTTCAGCGTCCGTAGACGCGGTGAAACCCGTACACGGTGTGACTTCAGCAGCTGCGCGGGTGACTCCTGATCAGGAGCCGTCTTCTCCCCTTAGAATGAACGACACACCTTAACGCTGAATACCTCAAGGGACCACCGGTTGAAAGTCAGTAGACTGAAAATTTACGTGCACGGTGTCGCTACAGTAGCTGCGCGCGTGTTTCTCCATGAGAGTCTGTGGTCTACGTTCTACACAACCAACATTTCTGAGCATTCAAGATACCAACGACTACCAGTTTAACCTCAGTAGACTGAGAAACCTACGCGCACGGTGGCACTGCTCTAGCTGAGCGCTGTTTCCCGATTACACTCCCTAATGTACGTCTGAATGGAACAACGATTCCGAATGTTCAGTACAGCACGGAACTGCGCGTCAAACATCAGTAGAGTGGACGATAGACAAGAAGGCTGTCACAACTGTGGCTGAGCGGTATTTTCGGAACAGAATTTCGGATCTGGCTGCCGGAGAAACACCAGACCTGAACGTCAACGCTGAAAAAATCTACTAGCTCAACATGACTACAGTGGGTGCGACAGGCGTACTGTGTCACTACTGTAGCTGCGCGGCGTTGCCTGAGAAAAGGTGTTGATCTACGTGCCGCCCTAGCAGCGGTTCTCAACATTCGCTATGGCGCGGAACTGCAGGTCAAACACCAGTACGGCGGGTGATACACTACTGTAGCTGCGGGGTCTTTTCCGTGGGGAATCCGTGATCTTTCCTCTGAACAGACAACGCATTTTATCATTCGATGACGCACAGGGTTGCTCGTCCTACATCAGCAGAACGGGTGTCAGTACTTGAGCTCGGAGGTGTTTCATGAGGAGAGACGATGATCCACGTTTTCCGCGAGCAACACTTTTTAGCATCCAGTATGGCACGGGATCGCCGGTTAACCATCAGTAGTGCGACCTGTATACGCGCAGTGTGTGATTACTGCAGGTTGGCCTATTTCCTGAGGAAACAACGGTGATCCACATGATGCAGGAGCACCACTTTTCAACAGTCACTTTCTGACGCACTGACCGGCTCAACGCCAGCAGAGCGGCTGATTATATGCGCAGTCTGTCATCTCTGTAGCTCGGCGGTTTTTCGTAAGGAGAGACGTTGATCCACGTTCTGCACAAGCAACAGCTCCCAACATTCAGTATCGCGCAGAATTACCAGCTAAACATCTCTAAAGCGAACGGCCTTCCTCCTGAATGAACACGGCTCTTCAACACACAGTATCCCACGAAATGACCTGTCAAACATCAGTAAAGCGGAGGTGTTGGTCGCCCGCGGTGTCACTCCTGTAGCTGCGCCGGGTTTCGTGAGGATAGTTTGTGATCCGCCTTCGGGACGAGGAACGTCTCTACATTCACCGCCGCACTAATGACCAGCAAAATATCGCTAGAGTGGATGATACAAGCATACGATGTCACTACCGTGGCTCGGCGGCGCTCCCTGGGGAGAGAGTGCGATCTACCCTCAAAATGAACACCACTTCTCAATATTCACTACCGCACGAAATCATCAGCTTAGCATCTTTACATCGGATGGCACGCGCGTACGGTGTCTCTACTGTAGCTCCCAGTGGTTTCCTGAGAAGCACCCGTGATCTTTCCTCCGAACAGAGAGCGCTCCTTACCATTCAATATCGCAGAGAGTTGCAGGTTACACACCACTAGAGCGAGTGTCACTACTGCAGCTCGGCGGTGTCTCCTGAGGGGAGACAGCGATCTTTCTATGTAAGTAGATATCTATTATCCGTTTCTGTCTGCGTCTATGTATACACCTGCATATATACTGCAGACCTTGGAAAGCGGAGGCGTATACGGTGGTCCAAACAACCTTACGTGCAGAGGAAATTCTGCAGAAGAGAGGGCCACGCGCATGCGCAAAGCAGGACGAGCAGATGCTAGGACAAACCTCAACACCTACAACAGTCAAGTCATTTTTATCCACAGCGCTTTTCTCCTGTTCCACATAATACCGTGCAGAATCAATATACGTGAGTTACTTCATATTTACATGCATAATTTATGTATATCTACACATGTATACCAGAGGCCCTCCGTCCACGGCGCTTTTCTCCTGTGCCACGCCTTATCATACAAAGTTAACATACCGGCAATAATACACTATATGCGTACGTGAGTTATGCATTACATATATAGACGACACCTCAAGAGTCTGCGCCGACAAAGCTTCTCTCCTGCTCCGCACCCCATCGTACAAGGTCGATTCCCTTGCATGTAGACATGTATAGGCCGTACGTATATTGGTACAGATGTATACGGCTTACTTTCGCAGGTAAGAGACCTTTATCTATAGTGATTCTCTTCTTTTTCGCGCACTGCCGTACGAAATCGATAATCAATCGTAGTGATCTTCTTGTGTTGCAGACGGCGTATGACAGCTGCTGCGTTTCCTACGACGAGCGGCCGGTGGCGGTGTCGTCCGCAGAAAGTTCCATATACATATATATATACGTATTCGGGAAGAGCATATATATATTAGTGCTGAGGAGAATAAATATGTATATATCTATATATATATATATATATATATATATGAGAAGTATATGTAATAGTGCTGGGGAATCAATATACGCATATATATATATATATATATATATGTATACATGTATATCTCAGAAGTATATACAAGAGTGCTAGGGAGTATATATATATATATATATATACATATATATATGTTCAGCAGCGGTCAAAATCTGATTACGTTCATGAACTGAAGTCGCGCTGCCTTGTTCCTGCAGACTTTGGTCAAAAAGGGTACACAGCCGGCATGCGCGTAAAAAACCTGGATTTCGCC